ATCCCAGCTACAATGACAGACAACAAATATTACATTTATAGTATTACAATTAAAACCGTTTTTGATGCCGCCACCGCAGTTTGTCCTTCATGAGCCTCCGTACACAAGATGACGGTGCAAGATGGCGGCTGCCTGTAGTGGCGACCCGCGACCATGGAGATATAAACAGCTTTTTATAAGGTAAAATAATAAAACAAGGTCTTTGTCTGCATTGATTAGACATGTTTTTTATTATTGTCATTAGTGATTATCTCAATTTCGGCTGAAAGAATTAACAAAATCCTACACACTGTGCCTTAAAGAGTTAATTAATGTGTTTCTGTGATTTGCAAATCATTGCATCCTGTTTTCCTTTACATCAACACAAAGTTTGTCTTTTTCTAAATATTTCTAAAGTTCTTCTATCTGAACTGAAGACCTCCGCAGCCTGAATAAGTTTATTACTTTAGATTGATTCAGTTATTTGTTTACAGTTGCCTCAGGAATATCTGTCACTTTCTTTCTGTTCGGTCATTTTGTTTTTTATTTGGTTTAATTTCTCTTCTTATGACAGTTTTTCTCGATTGTTTCCACACATTTCCTATAAACTTCATGCATCAATGAGCGAAACCCCTCATTTCTTCTGCAAAATGAAACTTTACATTCAAAACGGTTGTTTCTTAAATGTATTTTGTTTTCAGATGACACTCAAACACTGTGACATCTTCTTCATTCAGCAGAATGACTACAGACAGTACATGAGTGTGTTGTTAAATACAAATGACACAAATGCAATCAGAAATATATTTCTTCTCTCCCCCCCCACCCCCCCAAAAAAAGAAAAAAACACACACCATATGCTCCACCTAGTGGCAGTGTAACTGCCTCATTGTGTTTGAAAAAATTGCCCTGTGTAGACCATTTGAGAAACCAAGAAAATAAGTGTCACTAGCAGCCGCCAAAGGGCGTGGCCTGTGCAGCATGGTGACCTTAAATGTGTCCCCTAAAGTGCGCAACTGCCATGTTCATAATGTTCTAGAGGGCTGAGCTTCTTAAAACTTGGCAGATATTTCCAACATGTTCAAAGATGGGGAGACACAAAGATCTAGATGTGCTTTTTGAAAATGGTCTCTCTAGCATCATCTTGGTTGCAGCACCTCTGACTACTTAAATTTGACGTACTTTTTGCATCGGTTCAAGTCCTACAAAATGTCTCAACACCATATTGTAAAACCTACAGGCCACTTTGAACAAAAAGGCAAATTTTACTTTCTCACCAAATGCTATTTAGTTTTAAATTTAGAGCGTATTGACTTCCAAAGCTCCATCACAACCTACTGCGCAAAATTTAGCAATGGTTGTTGGCTAATCTAATTGGTGTAGGGGTGGGTTTTTTTTTTTTTTTAGGCTGCCCATTTCTACATCAAATATGGCTTTGGTGTAACATCACTGTAAATTGCCGTCATCATCCTTCTCTTGCTCTTGCTCTCTATAAAGTTCTGACTACTAAGTTGTGACAGATGTTTTCCCATGTGAAGAGCATGTGTATAGTAAGATAATTACCTTTAGAACTTTGAACAACTGAGTGTTATTTGTGAAAACAAGAGGTTTTCTTTATGAAAAATGTGCCAAACTGCAGAGAACTGTGTCCCAAGTAGCAGAAAATGTGTGGAAACAACTGAGAAAAATTGTAACATTCATGATTTTTGTGACTTGTTGTGAATGTGTGTGAGTTTTGTGTTGTGTTGTAAATATAATTTTGCACTTCTCTGTTTGCCTGTGTTGTCACTAAATGTCCTGGCTGCCTGCTGCTGTTTGATCATCTTTATTAGAAACTGAAGAAGAGTTATGAGGTGAGACACTCATCGACAGAACATCCACTGAAGGGTCACTCAGTATAAATGTGACAAACAAAATACAAGTTATAAATGAAATGAAAAGAAGCAGAAAGAGAAAAATAATCTTCGCTGCCCCCGTTTAAAAAATAAATGTTTTTAAACAAAAAAATTTATATCAGGTCCTTCCTGAACAATTCATTTCAACACCCAACCTTTACCACTCTCCTAAATATACAAACCTTTCCAGCAGTTTTCACATTGAAGTTGAGATTATTCCAGTCTTTCCTATAAACTGGTTCCGAATTACAGTTTTTAAAAAAATCTCACTTCAAATTCATAGCAACTCTCTCTCTTAACAAATTTTGATTGGATGTTTAAAGCTAATACTGTATGTTTTTGTGATATTATAATCAACTGAATTGTAGAATTTCATTCATTTTAACTGATAATAATGTATTTGATTGGTGACTGTAATGTTTTCTACTAATAATTCTTATAGCTAATTTTTGTAAAATATAAATAGAATTTGTAATCATTGTACACGATTTTCCCAAATTTCAGTACAGTAGATTAAATATGGAACAATCATTGTATTATACAAAATATACAGAACTTTATCATTCAATAACTCTGTTACTTTATACAGCAATGCAATTGACTGCTCTTTTTATTCTTAAGTCATCGATTTGAGATTTCCAGGTCAGCTTTTCATCAATGATGACACCTAAAAACTTCACCTCACCTACTCTAATCTCAACACCATCAACTCTAAGTGGAACAGCAATAGTTTTCTTTCTGTTACCAAATATCATGTAGTTTGTTTTATCCAAATTTAATGATAACTTCAGTTGAAACCAAATTGGAATTTTCATAAATTCTGTTTGTCTCACATCTGTTCAATATTTTCACCAGAATAAAACAATGTGTCATCAGCAAACAAAATACATTTTAAAAGCATCGTCACATTGATCAAATCATTTACATCCAAAATAAACAGCTTTGGTCTTACCACAGAACCCTGAGGAACTCCACAACTAATATTACAAAATTCAAATCTCTCTATCTGAACAAACTGTTTCCTATTTTTCAAATAACTAGAAGTGTAGTGCTAATCCTTTAATGCCATATTTGTTCAGTTTTTCAAGGAGAATGGTGCAGTCAGTAGTGTTGGAAATGACAGAAGTATTTTGTGTCTGGCCTGTCACCAGGAACACTCTGTCTTGGGAGACCCAACAGCAGAGCTGCTATAGCACATGTGTCAAATTTGGCCCGCGGGTAACTCCCGTGTGGCCCGCCAGGGGGTACCCCCCCAAAAATTCTTATTTTATTTATTTATTTATTTGTTTGTTTATTTATTTTTATTTTATTTTTACTTAACATGAAATTTGTTTCTTATATCAATGGTAAACTTTAAATTATGGTTAAATGCAACAAAATACATTTAATAAAAATAAATGAAATAAAAATAAATTTAATAAATTCCTGTCCCTGAGCTGTTGGCTTTAAGTAACTGAGCAATTTAGTTGGAAAGCAAAGTATTAATGTCTGAAAATAAGCTGCTTAAAAACAGCATCAACGTCAAAGTTCATTACAAGTGGCCCTTCGAGGGCCACCATAACGCTCATGTGGCCCTCAGTGAAAATGAGTTTGACACCCCTGTCCTATAGGATCAGTCTAGCACACAAACTCCTCCCCCTCCACGAGGTGGTGATTAAAGGAGGAGCTGCCGTCCTCACAGACTGATTTATTTATTTTCTAATTATCAGTGGTGGTTTTATTGTCATCTGAACCAACCTTTAGTTAATGAAACAGGAAGGCCAGTGGTATATTAGAACCAGTCTCTGCTTGTTATCACATATTTTTCAGTCCTGATGTTTCTGTCAGTATAAAACCAGCTTACAGTTTACCCACACTGCTACCAAATAACCCAACTCCTGGACAAAGAGTTTGTAATTTCAGTTTCTTGTTCCTGCAGGAGGTATGTTCAGTAAACATAGAGATGTCTGCTGACAGCTCCAAACATCCTGATAACAAGACTAAAAACAGATACAGCAACATCCTGGCCTGTGAGTATACATCTGAATGTTGGTTTATACAGACTTGTCTTTTGCTGCAGTCCCATATTTCATACATCCCATATTTACCTGAATTCTTGTTGTTTTGTTGTTTCTGTCTTCAGATGACCACAGTCGGGTGCTGCTGTCACCACAGGCAGACAAACCAGGAAATACGGCAGATTATATTAATGCCAACTATGTGGACGTAAGAAGCTGTTGGTTTTATTCTTAAACTGCACACATACTGAGGTCTCAGTTTCTTTCATTTTCTAAGAAATAATAATAAGTAATTAAACAATAATAAGTAATTTAAACTTTGTGTGGCAGCAAGGGGATCTGATTCCAGAGTTGCCAGTTTGAAACCATTTTGGAGCTCTTCAGTGTGACTGGAGTGTGGATAGTTGTTTGTGTTTTTGTGTCCCTGTGATGGTCTGGAGACCTGAAACCCTGATTAGAAACAAGGAGAACATAATGGCTGGATGATTTTTATAGCAGAAAACACATTATTAAATATAAAACATTTTTATTTAATCTCAATTAATGACATTTATAATTTTGTGTATTTTGTAAATATAAAAAATTAAATAATAAATTTTTTGACAGCTTTTTAGCAATGAATACCTTTGTTACCTTTATTTAAAATACACCTCTTAAAAAACAAAACCAAAAAAAAACAAAAACAGGTGCTGCCTATTTCTTTAAGAAAATGGCAACTTCTTTACCATTTTTAAAATAAACTTTTACCAGTAAAACAATTAACACATACCCTCTATGCTCATCATTCCTATTAACTCTTGTAGATACAATATATCAGTTATGTTATGTCCAGCGGTCCATGAAGAAATGCAGATCACCTGCTGCCTGCCCCGCAGATATTCTGACTATGATCATCTGTTAATGAGAAATGACAGAATTAGAATTATTTCAGTCCATCCGTCCATCGTTTTCTTCCGCTTATCTGGGGTTGGGTTGCGGGGGCAGCAGCCTAAGCAGAGAGACCAGACTTCCCTCTCCCCAGCCACTTGAACAAGCTCATCCTGGGGAATCCGAAAGCGTTTCCAGGCCAGCCGAGAAACATAGTCCCTCCAGCGTGTCCTGGGTCTTCCTCTGGGTCTCCTCCCAGTGAGACGTGCCCGGAACACCTCACCAGGGAGGCGTCCAGGAGGCATCCTAACTAGATGCTCGAGCCACCTCAACTGGCTCCTCTCGACCTGGAGGAGCAGCGGCTCTAATCTGAGTCCCTCCCAGATGACTGAGCTTCTCACTCTATCTCTAAGGGAGAGCCCAGACACCCTGCGAAGCAAACTCATTTCGGCTGCTTGTATCCGCGATCTCATTCTTTCGGTCACTACCCAAAGCTCGTGACCATAGATGAGGGTAGGAATGTAGACCGACTGGTAAACTGAGAGCTGCACCTTCTGGCTCAGCTCTCGCTTCACCACGACAGACCGGTACAGCGCCCGCATCACTGCAGATGCAGCACCAATCCACCTGTCGATCTCCCACTCCATTCTTCCCTCATTTGTGAACAAGACCCCGAGATACTTAAACTCCTCCACTTGAGGCAGGACCTCCTCCCCGACTTGGGGAAGGCACTGTACCATTTTCTGGCTCAAGACCATGGTCTCAAATTTGGAGGCACTGATCCTCATCCCGGCCGCTTCACACTCAGCTGTGAACTGCTCCAGTGAGAGCTGGAGATCACGATCTGATGAAGCCAATAGGACCACATCATCCACAAAAATCAGAGATGTGATCCCAAGGTCAACAGAATAGATCCCCTCAACACCTTGGTTGTGCCTAGAAATTCTGTCCATAAAAATTATGAACAGAATCGTGACAAAGTGCAACCTTGGCGGAGTCCAACTCTTACTGGAAGCGAATCCGACTTACTACCGGCAATGCGGACCAAGCTCTGGCACCAGTCATACAGGGACCTAACAGCCCGTATCAATGGGCTTGGTACTCCATGCTCCTGGAGTACCCACCACAGGAGTCCCTGAGGGACACGGTCGAACGTCTTCTCCAACTCTACAAAACACATGTAGACTGGTTGGGTGAACTCCCATGCACCCTCCAGGACCCTGCTGAGGTGTAGAGCTGGTCTAGTGTTCCACGACCAGGACGAAAACCACACTGCTCTTCCTGAATCTGAGATTCGACTATCCGACGGACCCTCCTCTCCAGGAACCCTGAATAGACCTTACCAGGGAGGCTTAGAAGTGTGATCCCCCTAAAGTTGGAACACACTCTGGGGTCCCCCTTTTTAAATAGGGGGACCACCACCCCGGTCTGCCAATCCAGGGGAACTGCCCCGATGTCCACACGATATTGTAGATTTGCGTCAACCAACGCAACCCCCCAACATCCAGAGCCTTAAGGAACTCCAGGCCAATCTCATCCACCCCTGGTGCCCTGCCACCGAGGAGCTTTTTAACCACCTCAGTGACCTCGGCACCAGAGATTGGAGAGTCCGACCCAGGGTCCTCAGGCTCTGCTTCCTCATGGGAAGACTTGTCGTTAGGATAGAGGAGGTCTTCTAAGTATTCCACCCACCAACCCACAATGTCCCGAGTTGAGGTCAGCAGTGCACCGTCCCCACCGTAAGTAGTGTTGGTGGCGAACCGCTTTCCCCCCGAGACGTCGGATGGTGGGCCAGAATCATCTTGAAGCTGTACGGAAGTCTTTTCCCATGGCCTCTCAGAATTTCTCCCACGCCTGAGCTTTTGGCTCAGCAACTACCCGAGCCTCAATCCACTTGGACTGCCGATCCCTATCAGCTGCTTCCAGAGTCCCACAGGCCAAAAAGACCCGATTATTTTAGTCAAACCTTGTAAATAAAGTTCTGCTGTAATAAATCATTAATTTTACACTTTTAAGTAATCAGAAAGATGAACTGATTGTAACTCTGCTCTGGGTTCTCTATGCTCTTTGATACTTTTATAGATTTTTTTAAAGCAGCTGTTCTTTGTTTTTTCCTTACTGATCAAGTCATTATGTCTCAGTCAGCCACACCCACCTACACCTGTTCCCCATTACCATTAGTCCACCTGTTTCCTGTATCACCCATGCTAACAAATCAATCTGAAGTCTGTTCTGCTAAAGCCCTGCATAAATTATAGTCAGAATTTATTTTACTAACAGAACAATGTTTTTCCGTCAGGCTGAAGTGGCTGCTTCTTGTTTTTCAGGGTTTCAGGAGGCCGCGGGCATACATCGCTGCTCAGGGCCCTCTCAGGTCCAGTACTGAGGACTTCTGGAGGATGATCTGGGATCAGAATGTCAGCGTCGTCGTGATGATCACCAACCTGGTGGAGAACAGCCGGGTGGGTTTAACATCAGCTTTATTGTGGGCAGCAGACACTTTCACTTGCCTTCTTTGCTTTGTTGCCTTGGAAAAATAGTTTTTTTTCTAAAACAAAGAAGTCATCATCCCCGCTGGAGCATATCATGACAGGAGTTCACTTTGACATCAGAAACGTGACCCAGGATGGATTCTCAAGATGGCACCGAATGTCATGGCATGCCGTCTCTCTGTCCTGAGATGTCTGAGATATCTCTGTATTTTGTTCATTGTGACGTCCTTACTAGTGATAAAAACTCACTCTGTACTGGTGTATGAGCGACAGATGCTTTTAAACATCTGAGACTCACTGCTGAAGTTCCCCTGCGTTGGACAGCGTCGGGGGGGACTCCCACCACCTTTGGCGTCGGTACCGGAGGACTTGTGTTGGCGTGGTCCTGCTTTGTCCTTCTCCAAGCACAGGCGCTGGAGAGGCGGTCGGCTACGAGGCACACGTTCTGGAAAGCGTGTGCGGTTCCGAGCGTGGATGTGGATGATCAACACCAATAGGGATCCAGGAGTTTTGGACATCTGTCCTGCTTTCAAGCAGCACACTCTTCTTCCTGTTTACCCAGCGTCATCTGAACACGTCCTGATGAATCATTACCACTGGTCACCTTGGCGATGGAAAGCGAAGGGAGGCGGAGCCAATCTGAACAACTTGAAGTCGCTGCTCCCTGAACCCTCCACTGCTTTTGGGCAGAGAGTTAAGTTGGCTCTCTTAAACTCTAGATCTGTATCCAACAAAACACACGTGCTTCGGGAATTTTTTATTACTCATAAACTGGATATTATGTTCTTAACAGAGACTTGGTTGCACGCTGGGGATTTGTTACCCTTGCTGGAACTTTGTCCCCCTGACACTGACTTCCTGAATACTCCTAGGCTGTCAGGAAGAGGAGGTGGAGTTCCATCTATCATAAGGGAGTGTTAAAACATAAACAAATTCAAAGTCCCTGTGTTTTTTCCTCATTTGAATCACAGATTTTCACTTTAACTTGTCCTGAGGTATTTGTTATTATGATCTATCGCCCACCTAGATACAATGATATTTTTTATTTCTGAATTTTCTGACTTTCTGTCATGCCTCATCCCTCACTATGACAAGATTTTAATAGTTGGAGATTTTAACATTCACTTGTGCTCTGATGATAAACCTCTGGTCAAAGATTTTCTGAACATTCTTGATTCTCTAAACCTCAAACAATGTGTGACTGGGCCTACACGAAATGGTCACACCCTGGAACTCATTTTAAGTTATGGTCTGAATGTATCAGTGACTGATAACTCTGTTTAACCAATTTTAGATCACTCAGTACTTTTATTTGATGTTTTTATTTCCGCATCTCAGGCTTCCGTGCAGGATAATATACCTCTTAGGTCTTCTCGTCACTTAAGTCCGGCTGCCCTGGTTTTACTTAACTCTCATCTACCTGATGCCCTGGACTCTGTTTTTGATAATGATCTTTGTGTCAACCACCTGACTGTTAATTTTAATGCTGCACTTCTTGAATTGTTGGACTCAGTTGCTCCTACTAGGATTCTAAAATGTCCTAAAAGAATCCAGCACCTTGGCTGAATGAAGAACTCATGACCTCGAGAAGAAACTGCAGAAAAGCTGAGTGACTGTGCGACGTTCTGGACTTGAAGTATCTCTGCAGGCATTGAAAGACACTCTGCTCTCTCTTCAATTAGCTATGTCTTCTGCCAAAGCAGCATATTTCTCTAACCTCATAGTCAATAAGCATAATTCTAAAGTTCTATTTCACACTGTCTCACAACTTACTGAGGGCAAACAAACCACTTGTAGTTCTTGTTTGACAGCTCAGGACTTTCTGGTGTTTTTTCGTGATCGAGCTGATTTACTAAGAAATCAGATTACTCCTTTTTTTGGTGGTTCATCTGACCCTCCGGTTGTTTCACATGCTGTCCTTGCTGACGGGTTTTCTCACTTTGAGCTCATTTCCCTAAGCTTGACTAAAATTGTTAATGCTGCTTGATCTACTACTTGTCCTTTAGATCCTTTACCTGCTTGGGCCATCAAGGAGCTGTGGTTGACTTTATGACCTTATATCCTGGTGTTACTAAATACGTCCTTGTCTACTGGTGTTTTTCCTGTTTGTTTTAAATCTGCTATGGTTGCACCCATCTTAAAGAAGCCTGAGCTTGATGTCGACTCTGTTGCTAATTACAGACCCATCTCACAACTATCTTTCTTATCCAAGATCTTCAAAAAAGTTGTCCCACAGCAACTTATCAGCTATCTGTCTGCTAATAATTTGTTTGAGACGTTTCAATCTGCTTTTAGATCTAACCACTCTACAGAAACTCCTTTAACTAAAGTGGTCAATGACTTATTGGTAAATGCAGACAATGATCATCCTTCTGCCCTTTTGCTATTAGACCTCAGCTTTTGATACTGTTGATCACTGTATCTTATTGGATAGACTTGAACATGACATTGGAATCTCTGGTAATGTACTCTCATGGCTGAAATTATATCTAACTGGTAAATCTCTGACTGTTTATTTAAAAAATAAGCTCTCTGCAACCTGCACTGTGAAGCATGGGGTCCCGCAGGGGTCCATGCTGGGCCCCCTGCTGTTCTCATTATATCTTTTGCCCCTTGGTCTTCTCCTTCATTCATTTAACATTACTTTCCACTGCTATGCTGACGATCTACAGCTGTACATGCCTTTCACAGTGGGAAACTGTGCCAACTTGCCTAATTTGGAGGCCTGTCTGTCAGCAATTAGGGGTTGGTTATCTAATAATTTCCTGCTCCTCAACATTGACAAGACTGATTTAATCATCATTGGCCCAAAAAGCTCCATGGATTGTCTCAAATTTTTACCCTGCAAATTGATAATAAGATTATTAGATGTCAAGAAACATTCAGAAACCTAGGTGTGTGGTTTAATCCAGTGCTTTCTTTTGATTTCCACTTAAAATTAGTAACTAGGACCGCCTTTTACCATCTTAGGAACATTGCCAAAATCCGGTACATTCTTTCTTTCAACGATGCTGAGGTCCTCATCCACGCGTTTGTGACTTCACGCATTGATTTTTGCAACTCTCTCCTTTCTGGACTACCCAGGAAAAGTTTTAGATGTTTGCAGATGGTCCAGAATGCAGCCGCCCATATTTGTTTTTATATTGTTTTCTGTGATTTTATCCTTGCTTTTTTGTGAATTCATCTCTTGTTGTGGTTTTTTCTCCTGTGATCTTATCTCCTGTTCAGCGCTTTGTTTGAAGGCGCTTTACGAATAAAGTTATTATTATTATTATTATTATTATTATTATTATTATTAAAAACCTGCCGACTGTTTCCACATGTACAAAGGGACGAGTTCTTTCAGCAGGAATGCAGACTGGAGATGATGTGGTCTGACCCTGAGAACTCTAGTCAGGTGGTCTGCCAGGTCCCTTAGCGCCCGGTCCAGTTTTCTTTGGGGTTCTGTAGAGGCGAGTGTCTCTGATGTCATCAGCTGAAGTTTGGTGATCATTTCTGCTCATATGTTAGCAGTCATTACCTCGCTGCTCTGTAGCGTGTCTTCATCAGCATCCAGCTGAATCTCTGATGGTTCCTTCTTCAGTAAGGCCTGACAGACTCACTCTTCATCTAAAGACTTGATATTTATCCACAAGTTGTTCTGAGGACATGGAGGGTCTGCTGACATGTTGAACACAAAGTCATGCTAAACCTGTTTCATCTCGTACGCACCAGAACCCCCCTGATGAAGTTTCCTTAAAGCTGTGTTGTGTTTCTTGAATTTTCTTTGCTATTTCATCAAATTCGCACAGTCAAATTTTGAAAAGAGCAAACTTTTATTTTAACACAGTTCCTAAAATCATGCCAGAGTTTGATTTCTTAGAGACAGAAAGTTGTGCTTCCATCCTGTCATGTTGTGTATCATGTGCTGTATGTGTGTGTCTGTCCATCAGAGGAAGTGTGATCAGTACTGGCCCGTGGACGTTCAGGAGGAATACGGCAACTTCCTGGTTTCTGTGAAAAGCACCAAAGTCCTGGCCTACTACACAGAGAGAACCTTCAGTCTGAGAAAAAACAACTGTAAAAAGGTCAGGAGGGGTCAGAGCCTGCAGCAACAAATACAGACTGAGTTCAGGTTACCACAGATAGAAACTCATTAAAAACACTGAATTCACTGAGAAAAAGTTCAAATATTCAGAACATCGCTCAGAGTATTTCACTGGACTGTTGGTGACCTCAAACTAAGAGAAAACAGTTTCTTTTTTTTGTTGTTTTCTTTTTTAGCTGTATTCTCTGCAAAGGTTCATCAGTTATAGATTAACATCAAATGATTACTTTCTACATTTCATTAAAATACATCAGAGTTCTCATGAGATAACAGTTAAAGCTAGAGTTGAAACAAAGACCTTGCACAATAAGAATCACTTAAAGAGTTTGAGTTATGAATGAAACGCCACATTTCAGCACAATATCTACAAAACAGATCCACAGTTTTAGAGAAACAAATGTTAAAAAGCATCAACGAAATCTGGATTATAGTGTAACCTCTGAAATTTAATATTGCATAAAAGTACCCAAAATATTGTTTTCTTGTGTATTTTCAGATCTCAGTTACAACTAAAACAGGATTCAGTGTTTTCCTCCATCTTTGCTATCTTCCAGAGCTCTCAGAAGGACAGTCAGCGGACAGTAAGACAGTTTCATTACACCCAGTGGCCGGACATGGGCATTCCAGAGTTCAGCCTGCCGCTGCTCAGCTTCGTACGCAAGTCGTCACGAGCCAACGCCGATGATACGGGCCCTCTGGTGGTGCACTGCAGGTCAGCTGATACTGCGCCAACACTGGCCTTCACTCTCAGCCTTCAGTCCGTAACCACCTCTGTGCTCCGCTTCCAGTGCTGGTGTTGGCCGGACCGGAACATACATCGTCCTGGACAGCATGCTGAGGCAGATGAAGGAGACGGGCACCATCAACATCACCGGCTTCCTTAAACACATCCGCACGCAGAGGAATCACCTGGTTCAGACTGAGGTCAGACCTCAAATCATCAGATTGTTCATGAATAAATCAGCTTGGTGTGAAAGATAAACTGATTGATGGAAAATATGATATTTGTATGATTAAAGGGATCCCTGATTAGTTGTAACATTAGACTTTATTTGATAAACAAATATTTTAACAGTAAAATAAAGACTGTAAAAATACTGTAGGCTGTTTAGTTTTGTCAATTTTTAAAAATATATTTTAACACGGACGAAGCCATTTTATTTACACACAAAGCATTCTGGGTAAATGATGACGTGGATAGGTCCTCAGTGCAAGGCTGCTAGCGAGCTATATCCACCCTGAAGGTTAATCTTGGACAATATCTGATGATCGAGTTTTAAATGAAACCAGAGAGCGTTGACAGAGAGGAGAAGGTAGAAATGACTCAGCCTGTAACTGAAAATATAGATGGAGGACAACAGAGCTGCTTCATGGAAGAAGAACCTCAGCTTAGCCTGTTAGCCTTCGCGCTAGCGCCAATGCTATATTGCCTTATATGTATTAGCTCTGTTGTCCTCCATCGATATTTTCAGTTACAGGCTGAGTCATTTCTACCTTCTCCTCTCTGTCAACACTCTCTAGTTTCATGTAAAAGAGCCAGTCGTCAGATATTGTCCAAGATTAACCTTCAGGGTGGATATAGCTCGCTAGCAGCCTCACACCGAGGACCTATCCACGTCATCATTTACCCAGAATGCTTTGTGTGTGAATAAAATGGCCCCATTCGTGTTAAAAATTATTTTTAAACTTTTAGTTTAAAAATATAAAAACTGAACATCCTACAGTATTTTTACAGTCTTTATTTTACAGTTAAAATATATGTTTATCAAATAAAGTCTAATGTTACAACTAATCAGGGATCCCTTTAATGTAACCAAATCACAGTTGTGTCCAACTGTTTGACTTTTCTCAAACTCCACCGTTCAGTTAATGTTTAAGTTTCCTGTCCAGCGAACAGGTGAAGTGTTCGGGAGACAGTCTGCACACTGGTTAGCTTGTTGCTAAAGCAGCTGGTGTGGTTTCCACTCCAGTTTAAGAAAATATATCAGCCGAATGTTCCACTTAGATCCAGTGACTAAACATGTTAAACCACGTGACTATACAAACTAAATGAGACAGAAATCAAATGTGTAAATGAAAATGTTGTATTATTTTAAGAAATTTTAAGCTTTAAGGCTCAATCATTGAGGCAGAAGCAACAAAAGGCTGTGAAAATAAAGAAACTGAGTCTGAAATCTTTGTCCTACTTCTGCAGGAACAATATGCTTTTATCCATGATGCTTTGGTGGAGGCCATCTTGTTTGGAGACAGTGAGGTGACGGCTGCTCACTTACATAGGTACGTGGATGACCTGCTCACCCCGGACCCTGCAGGGAGGACCCACCTGGACAAGCAATTTAAGGTCAGACACTCATCAAAAATCCTTACATGAAACAATTTGGGGTGGGGCACTGGAGTTAGTCCACTGCTTTTATGCCTCTGAGACAGAAAGGGAGGTAGTCACAGAGCTGAGTTGGTGTAAGGTAGGTGGCAGCTTTGTGTGTGTAAGAGCACCCATCATCACAGAAGGCTCTTTCAAAAGGACAGCCCATAATTTGTTGATCCTCCCTCAGTTCAGACCTCACTGACAGAGGTGTTCTGTTACTGCGCTCAAATTCTCTTTCAGTGAACAATTTTGAACTGAATTCTAACCTTTTTTTTAAATCTAATACACATTTTTTTAAATTATGCACCACCAAAGTCATGTGGGCAATCATGCTTTTTGCTCAGGTTTGTGCACGTGTGTGTTATTCTGTCTGAAGTATCTTGGTACCATAGACTTGAATATACCGTCCACTGGTAGCATCTATGACAGAAATGGAGGAGCAGAAACAGACCAAACAGGGCAACGACTCACAGCCACCACAGAAACTAATAGATAAATAACAAGCTGAACCGGATCTGTTTCACAGATTATTTCAACAATCATGTAAAACAGCAGATTTATACCCGAAAAATATATAATTTATAAGTAACAATGATCTAAACCAGACCTGAAGTCAGCTTGTAACTTAGACTTTAACTAGTTGGAAAATGATGACTTCAGCTAGTAATAAAGTATATTTAACATTTCTTCTTAGTGTCATAAAAAATAAGAATATTTATATTTACCAGACGCATGCTCAGAGACTGTGCTGACTCACTCACTGACGTCCTCACAGACATCTACAACATGTCTCTGAACCAAGCCTTCATACCAGCAAGCTTCAAAGCCACCACCATTGTACCACTACCCAAGAAGTCACCAGCATCATCACTCAACGACTACAGACCCATAGCACTCACTCCCATCATGATGAAGTGCTTTGAAAGTCTGGTAAAGGACCACATAACATCCATACTCCCCACTACTTTGGATCCATATCAGTTTGCCTACCGCCACAATCGCTCCACTGATGACGCAATAGCAACAGCACTCCACCTCTTGCCTGGCTCATCTGGAGAACAAAAACAGTCACGCACGGTTGCTGTTCATTGACTTCAGCTCTGCGTTCAACACTGTCATCCCACAACATCTGGTGAACAAGCTAACTTCAATAGGTATCAACATGTCACTGTGCAACTGGCTGCTGGACTTCCTAACAAACAGACCGCAGACAGTCAGAGTTGGAAACAACTCCTCAGCGACCAACATCATAAACACCGGGGTGCCGCAAGGATGTGTACTATCTCCCCTGCTGTTCACACTGATGACTCACGACTGCAGTGCCAGATTTGAAACAAATCACATCATCAAATTCGCAGATGACACGACAGTGGTGGGCCTCATCAGTGACGACGATGACTCAGCATATACACTCACCGGCCACTTTATTAGGTACACCTGTCCAACTGCTCGTTAACACTTAATTTCTAATCAGCCAATCACATGGCGGCAACTC